GTCAGTGATTAATCCTGTTAGAGAAATTAAAGGGCAGAAAAACGAGACTTTTTCTACATCAGACATCAGGGATGGGCTGAGGGAAAGCCAGGCAGCCTGGGAGTCTCTCTGTCTGCCCAAGGCCCCACGTGGGGGACCGAGCGGGAGGCCTGGAGTCAGCCCACTGGCTCTTCGGTGCGCCAGCGCCCGAACCTTGGCTTGGGCTGCGTGGCTTCATCTCCATTTATCTGCTTTCTCATCTCTAAACTGAATGACTAAACCTGCTTCAAGGACTATTGAGAGGATTAAATGAAATAATTGATTTAAAAAGCACTTAGTAAGCCTAAGTGTCATATGATGGTGTTGCAGTTAGGAGGGCAGCTCACAATAATATAGTTGGCCACTGTCCTCAGCTGCTGCCGCCCGGCGGGCCCTGAGGCCTCCTCCCTCCGTCTCACCTCAGGGGACTCCAGGATGCAGAAGCTGAGCAGGGGTGCCCTTGGAGAACCAGCCCACTTGGCAAAGTGAAGGATGATGGCTCTCAACCCTGGGGGGTGGGAGGGGGAGCGGTGAACGTATAAATCCGCTTCACAGATGGGCTGGGAAAGAAGCATCCAGGAGCCCTTAACAGCTTATCTGCTAGGGCTGCTGACTTGGTTACCCTGCCCGATGGAAATGGGGCAAGTGCAGGAACCCGCATCTGTTCGAAGGGAACAGACCTCATATTTTTTAAATAAAGAACATCTATGTTAACATGTGTGCTGGTCCTAATATGTTATTTTTTTTTTCATTCCAGTCTTGCAGCCATTGCTAGAAGCATTTTTTAAGGCACTCATTTGAGAAGTTCTTTGAAGAGCATATGCCTCATTATTTGGGAATCACTTCAAAAACTGCAAGTACTCATGTTGTTGAAGATGGATTGGGCTTTTTGAAGGAGACAAGATGATTTCGCACAAGCTAATGAATAAGGGGGTCGGCCAGAGACAGAGTCATCGGGTGTCAAAAACAAACCAAAACAAAACCCTGAGTTTTTGTTTTGTTTTTTTTGTAAAGATTTATTTATTTATTTGAGAGAGCGAGAAAGTACATGAGAGGGGGGAGGGTTAGAGGGAGAAGCAGGTTCCTCGCCGAGCAGGAAGCCCGATGCGGGACTCGATCCAGGGACTCCAGGATCATGACCTGAGCCGAAGGCAGTCGCTCAACCAACTGAGCCACCCAGGCGCCCCAAAACCCTGAGTTTTAACTATAAACACACTCCACAGAATTCTTAGAATAGTTTAACGTGCTAATTTGGAAGGAAGTTTCCAAAGTACTTCCAAAAAGATCTTGAGCAACAGAACCATCTCCACCCACAAAAATAACTGTCATTTATTGAGTGCTTACTATCTGCCAGGCACTCTTCTTGACACACATTCTATCAAGATTTTGTTTGCTCTCTGCATGTCAGTGATTAATCCTGTTAGAGAAATTAAAGGGCAGAAAAACGAGACTTTTTCTACATCAGACATCAGGGATGGGCTGAGGGAAAGCCAGGCAGACTGGGAGTCTCTCTGTCTGCCCAAGGCCCCACGTGGGCAATTATCCTTAAGTCTATTATACCCATCTTATAAGAAGAGAGGTTAGGTAACTGCCCATGGTCATAACCAGGTAAACAGTAGAACTGTACTTATCTGCATAGAGGTATTTATTGGAAAATCTCTCCTCTCCAAAAAGTTAGCATTCCTTTGAATGAATGCACTCTGATATATTTGGGTTTTTTGAAATTTATCATAATACTCAAGCTTCTCTTAATTGATACAAAAACAGAACACTGCAACAGATATGCAGGATCAATGGAACCTGGGGCCTAAACCACTAGGAACAGGGCTTTGCAAATGTACAGAAATCCCCAATGCCTAGGGGAACCATTATGAGACCCTTTCAAATAGGAAGCAGAAATGAGCCTCATAAAAACCTGGAAATGAGCAACAGATAACGGCATTCATATCCAGATACCATTATGCTTATGTGGAGAATTTAAGCTGGTGATACATAGAATAATTATGTATTATATTTAATTATATAAAAGCTGCCCAGCCTAGGTGTTTAAGAGCTGAGTTTAAACCTGGTTCTGGAATCTGCTGACTGTGTAGTGAATTATCCTTCAGGGCCTCAGTATCTTAGTCGCAAAGTGGGGATGACCACATCACCCTCTTTATGGGGTCACACAAGAATCAAATACATATGTTAAGCTATTCCAGTGGTGCCCAGCACACAGTAAGCACTTTATAAATGTTAGATATTATTAGGGGCGCCTGAGTGACTCAGTGGGCTATGTCTGACTCCTGCTCAGGTCATGATCTCAGGGTCCTGGGATCGAGCCCCGTGTGGGGCTCCTTGCTCAATGGGGAGCCTGTTTCTCCCTTTCCCTCTGCCATTCCCCCCACTTGTACTCTCTGGCTCTCTCTGTCAAATAAATAAAATCTTTAAAAAATTTTTTTTAAATGTTAGCTATTATTATTAATATTTATGTAAAAATACATTAATTTTCTAAGGGTCATTATCTGGGATAGAGCACAACAGGACAGAGACATTCATATTCTACAAGTGTTCTTAGTCTTTGACAGTGGTGCTTTAATTCAATTAGACTACATCAGGTATGAGTTTTTTGAGCTTTAGGAGGATTTTCCTTGCCAACATTACACAGTGTTTGAAATTAATTAAATGATAGTTGCTAAAGTGGAAAGTTTCCAGGATCATTTCTGTATAATCCCTCAAAAAAGAATAATTTGGCATAGACTCCTTATGAAGATGAATAAACACTTTTTTTTTCCTGTACAGAACTTTGTGATCTTCAAAATATTTGCCTACAGTTTTATTTTTATGACATGAGGCAGCCACAGTCTAAATTTGCAGATCAATAGAATAGATGATAATGTTTTCCACCATGGAATGTTCTCATATCATTAAGTCTGGACTTATTAACAGCCCTATTTACAAATTAATAGAGAGGGGAATTTTCCCTGGTTTCCTAATTTAGAATGCTGATTTCATACAAAATGAGAGAGACTATGTGATGGGGACCCTGGAGTACGTACCAACAGTGGGAAGTGTCTGCTTTTGCCCCCAGAGCCCTGCCTTTGCCCCTATCTTACAATGAGAATGAGGCCAGAGAATGTTCCGCTGGGGCTTTCTGTAAATTCCTAGCTAACTCAATAGCCACCAGAAGTAGAACCCCAAAGGCAGAGCTTCACAGCCCCAATGCAAAAAAATGGCAACTGGGTATCATTAACATACTACAGTTTATCCAGACGTTAAGTGTATTACGGATGAAATAGGCTTTTGTCCAATTACCTGGGAAGCCAACCACTAAAATAGTCTTTTCTGTGGGACAATGTCTGCCGAGTTCCAAATAATCAATCTGCAAATGAACTTCTGGATGTAAGTGTTTATAAATTCATGGTTATTTGGTTTAATTTGAAACCCTCTTGCAGCTCATGCCAATCATGCAGCTTTTACTTGGTTACCTCTCCAGGAAAACCTGTGAAGACTAAACAGAATTACTGATGGTTTTATTACTATCTCAGATTCTTTATATGTGATCTAAATAAAATATTTTTCATATGCCACATAACTGACAGCTTTTCTAGTAAGACCAGAGAAAATTCATTATACTGCACCTGTATTATTACAACGTTTCTTATATTTAAAATTTTGCCTTTATAGGCTTTAAAGCATGAATATGTTAGTTAGCCTAACTTTACATCAATGTTTCTTTTCATCTTATTTTGATCTTTACCTCAAACACTCTGATACCATCCCAATGTGAAAATATATGTACCTCCATTGGCCTTCCCCAAAATACTCCTCTCCCTACAAATCCTCCCAGAATCTATGCACTGGATTAGGTTTTTCTGCAACTCTCAGTTACAGAGATGCTGAAAGTAATCTAAGGTGTTTGTATAAATGGGCGATAGAAAAATGGAAATAGCACAAGAGCTGATTAAAGCTAAATTTAAAATTAGATGGGTTCTCTTGATTAATGGCATAGCAACAGTGATGACTGATAGGTGGAGAACATCCCAATCCACACTAATCTAGATTCCGGAGCTCTGAGAGTGAAGGACTCTCATCCCTACCTTAAAATTAATTTTTCAGAAAAAGCTCCCCCAGAGAAACATTTAGAAAGACTAAACAATTCTGGCAGCACGATCTACCTGATAAGAGTAACTTTGTAATTTTAACTTTTTCAAACCTAATTTACTCTGTAGGAAGAGACAGCCAGTTACTGAACTAAGGCAGGGCCTCAGGTAAAGTACAAGTTCATCTAAATAGGGGAATTAAGCACACAGATCCTAAAAGTTTTAGAGAACACTGCAGGATGCCCTGCTGCACCATTCCAAAAATCTACATTTGTTCGGGTACACTGATCAGGACAAGGAACATTTGCACATTTATTGAAAGGAAATTAAATGGCAGGCATCATTATGTGACTTGAATGTTACATTCTACACTTTACATAGTAATTTCCAAGACTTTATATTGGGGGGAAAAGAAAAATAGAGAACTTACTATCTTCCGTGGTTTTCTTAGGGCCATACAAGGCAAATCCTTCATAAGAAGTGCCAAGCTTCTGACAGGCCAGTGGTAGACTGAATGAGATGTCCAATGAGAAATTTTATTTTTCAATTGTGATACATAGTTGTAAATAACTTTTTAAAAATTTGCTTCATGTGTTAGCCTGGAGCATCCTATAGCGCTAGAGGGGGTTGGGGTGCATAGAAAGAACACAGAAGCCAATCTGAACGAGCTCCTGATGGCCACGGCTGGAACCATTTAAGTAAAAGAGTAAATTAGGATAGTATTGGATTATAACCCAAAGAATAAAGTAAGTATCTATGAGACCATATTGCTATAAATAAATGACTGGATAAATAAATAAAAGGAGGAAAAGGCACAACTGTGCTTTACAGAAGAATTCCAACTCATGATTGTAGGATGAACGAAGGAAATAGAAAACTCACCATTACAGAACCACAGGAATAATTGCTTCAGCCAGAATTCCCTGGAGAATGCTCAAGTTAGTGGGTGAAAGTGTAAGTCGCATGGTTTCAAAATGTCTCCCCCCAGATGTTTCTTAATTACAAAAAAAAAAAAAAAAATCTCCAGCAGAGAAACTACCTTAACCAAGAAAGTTGACATCATCAGTAACAAGTCACATAGCTGTGAGCCTGCACAGAGAGGGCACGTCACCTATGTGGATTCTCCCCCAAAATGCATAACCCCAATCCAATCATAGGGAAACAGGAGAAAAACCCAAATCGAGGGGCATTCTACATATCACCTGACGCATTGCCCTTTAAAAGTGTCAGCGCCAAGAAACACAAGATTAGAAGACATTAAGGAGCTCCCAGCAAGTCAACTAACATGCAAGGAGGGGATCTCAGAATGGATCCTGGAACAGAAAAAGGACATTGGTTGGAAAATTGCTAAATATAAACAGTCTGTGGTTTATAGTATTGTGCCAATGTCAGTTTCTTAGTGTTAATCATTATCCCACGCCTATGTAAGTTGTTAAACTCAGGAGTAGCTGGGTGGGGGCTATCCTCTCTGTATTACTTTTACGACTCCTCTGTTCAGTTGAAAATCATTTCAAAATAAAAAGTTAAAAACCACATAGATCAGGGCGCCTAGGTGGCTCAGTTGTTAAGCCTCTGCCTTTGGCTCAGGTCATCATCTCAGGGTCCTGGGATCGAGCCCCACATCGGGCTCCCTGCTCCATGGGAAGCTTGCTTCTCCCTCTCGCACTCCCCCTGCTTGTGTTCCCTCTCTCGCTGTGTCTCTCTCTGTCAAATAAATAAATAAAATATTTTTAAAAAAAGACACATAAATGATTGAAAAATTGCCTAGCTGCTGGCTTTGTATCCAAACTGAGTTATATCTTGAAGGATGAACAGAAGTTAAACAATGACAATGAGGACACCTTGATCTTCCTAGCCAGCATGGTGATCTTTAATAGATGTTCT